ACACATTACACCACGGATAGATACGAGTATCAAGAAACTGGAAAATTCCTTATGATAAATTACAATGGTTTCGTATCATTAATTTTTATATTACCACAAATCATATTTTATTTGAGAATTCTTTTGTTTGGGCTTTATGAAGGAACAGATTGTTTTGTTTTTAAATAAATATTGAATTTATTTTCAAATAACGGTCGAATCGTTTCCCTGAAGACTTATTACGTTTTATGTATATACGAGTATAACTAGCGACTCACCGTCGCTCCGCTCTGGTTCGCCTGTCGTTACATTTTAAATTTTAGTATAGATTTCTCAGAGATGCAATATTTGTAAAAAGTATCCTATATCTTGAGCCGGATAACCACCTATCATTATACAAAATTCCATCAAATACGGTCCTGTGGTTTTCTCGTGATGCCTGGCATCAATAACACAAGCCTCGTAGCTTACCATGGAACTAGATGGTGCTGTGTGTTAATTTTTTTTTTTTTAACGTTGGGAAATGCATTTACGCACGACGTGTGGGACTCACCGGCGTAATACAGCCAGTACTACCCACTAAAACCCAACAAAACCTTCCCCCGTCTTAATGGGGCGTCGCAGGATCGCTTACGCATTCAACTACGACGCCCCGACGGCAGGTCCGCCGAAGCAGACCATCACAACCATGGGGTTGCTCCACAGTCCACTCTGCTATCAAAGAAGTACCAGGAGCAACCCGCATGGTACACCGCCCTCCGAAGAGGGCCACCTCCCACCGCCCACCGAAGTGGGCAACCTCCCTGTGCGTTTCTTAGCTTCGCTACTGCTACTGAGCCCCCCCACCACGACAAGGCCCAACATATTTTTTTTTTAATTTCATTTATAATAATCCGATATGTAAAAGTCTAGCTCTTGCTTCTTACAAATATTTTTAGCTTCTTAGCTAATAGCTCTTATAGCTATTCCTTTGTAAAGAGGTTCTCATTTTTCACCATATTATCTCATATTAAGATCAATGCTCTAATAGCAACTTACACTATATTTTCAACCGACTTCCTCAAAAAAGAGGAGGTTCTCAATTCGGCTGTATTTTTTTTTATGTTTGTTACCTCAGAACTCCGTCACTTATTAACCGATTTGGACAATTTTTGTTTTGTTTGAAAGGGTATACTTCTCGTTACTTACATCAATTTTCCGTTTTCTTCGTTGGCTAAAACATCAGGGCATATATTTTTTTCATTATAAGTCAATTAAATATTTCGTAGAACACTTATATTGTTATAGGAAAAATATTCGATAAGAAAATATTAAAGAAAATTAAAAGCCAATCGTGCTCCAGACGTCAATAGAGAATCGAATTTCACGAATGTTTGGAACCTCTGATATCGTTTAATTAGTCTCTCGAATTGGGAAAGTCTTCATAACTAATTAAAGTTTTCAAAGGACTACTAAAAATAAAATCTTATATTTTTTTCTTGAATTTCACATTGCTTTTGATTACGGGTCGTTTGAGTTATGAGAAAAACGAATGTCTTTGGCAGGCATTATTGTTAGGGATATCGTAGGTTCAAATTCTAGTCCAAAATGTTTGGGAGAACAGCATTTATAAATACATCAATTAACTATTAAATACAGACTCAATGTTTAGAAATATAGTATTAGTAAGTAAGTATTTAGTAAGTTAAAATAAAATATAAATTTTTCTGTCCGTTTGTTTGTTCGCCTGTCAGTCTGTAAGCACGTGCCTAGAGAAAGACTGAGCGGTTTTTAATGGAACGTTTCAGTACCTAATATGTTTTTTTTTTTTCAATTAATAATAAAATAATTTTAACACTTTATAGGTCAAGTTTAGTTTAAGTATCGATTTGCACGGGTCCCTAGGTGCTTAACAACAGCCGAAAAAGTAACTTATTTTCCGACTTTTAAGTTAAAGTTGTATGTATTCGTGAAAAATATCTATAATAATTAGGAAATATTTTTTTTAAATCTGATCATTGGATTCAGAAACCCCCCTCCCTACAAACACACTCACAAACTTTACTTCTTTAATAAACTATTAGTGTAGTTTAAGTAAAACTATTCTTTCGTATTTTTATTGTATTTATTTTGATTTTTGGTTCTCGACGTTTCGAATATTTTACAGCAATCATGTTCACGTGAAAAATTATTATTAGTTTAGATAAAAAGTAACATTTATTTTTTGTTTTCTAAAATATATAACAAAAATTATAACAATCTTTCCGTAAAAATATTACACAGACAGTCGTATCTCCCCATATATATGTACATATAAATAAATATGAGTACTAACTCTATTTGTTAATTACTCTGTCAACACCCTAGTGGTATTCAGCTTAATTCAAGCAATTTCGCTGCAAAAGCTTTAGAGCTAGATAAACCAAGTGAGATCAGAAACATAAATAGTGCTAATTATTTGTACTGTATTAATATTATGTAAGATAGTACATTCCCGCAGTTTACTTTTATTATGAAAACTAAAGCTGCTTATAATTTCAACTAATAAAATTTCTTAGAAATTTATCTGGAGGTTTAAGGCAGTGGTAGCCCAGTGGTAACACGCTCGTTTGGGAAACCGAGTGAAGCAAGTTCAAATCCCAGGTCTCGCTCTGATATTTTCATGCGCGAATCATTTCCAACATGATTACCACTTGTCTTAGCGGTGAAGGAAAACATCGCGAGGAAACCTGCATGTCTAAGAGAACCAAGCAAGTTTTCAAAAGACATGTGAAGTCCGCCAACCCGCACTTGACCAGCGTGGTGGACTATGACCTGATTCTCCTCGTACTGGAGGGAGGCCCGTGCCCAGCAGTGGGACGTTAAAAAAAGGGCTGAATACATACAATACAATAACATTTTGAAATTTTCACGTTCTTTTGTACTAATAACGTGAAAAATAAAACTATTTAAACTTATAAGTATAGCCCTACTGTCATTAATGCCTGAATGAATAAATAAACAAAATATCGGGCAAGTGCGAGGGACTCGATCACTGAGAGTTCCGTGGCATGAAAAATTTTATTTTACGTTAAAAATCAAATCTACTACAATATACATTTTTGGAGTGTATAAATACATTTATATTTTATAGTATTTTACGACTTCAGAAACATAACTCGGTATCTATTGGCTTGAACAAAAAAGAATAATCTGTTTTAATTTTAAAGACCTAATTCCAGAACTCGACATACTCAATTTTTTACATCTGAGATTTCACAGACATCTAGAGCCAATATTATTTTTATAATTTTTAGTAATTTAAATGCAGAATTATCTACTGGTACATATAAGATAGACTCACCAAATTGTTTCCATACGCTCCTATAATATCCGAATAAAATGGCTGTGATAAACGGACAGACAGGCATTAAATTATAAGGTTTCCGTTTTTACCTTTACCCACGGAACCCTAACAAGACTGAAATTCTGCTTTCATAAAAATAACTTTTACATAACGTTGAACTGTTTTATTAACTAAATGACTAATAATATAATGTAAATAAACATGGTTTTACACTCGTCTCGAGACGTGCTATTTATTTCGCTGAGGGAATGTTCTGCCTAAATTGCTGAAATTAAACAGTATGCATCTCTAGGGTTTTGGTAGAGTAAACAATGTGTAGACACGACGTTTCAAATTCACTGAAATGACGATTTAACTTGAACTCTAACTAAACAAATTTCACTCATTATGATACTAAATTACAATAAACAATACAATACAATAAAGTTCATATTATTTGTTTTGATTAAACGCTCTGATCTAATCTGCTCTTGAACTCTCGCGAAGAAATATTCTTTTTCAATTTTACGAAGTAGGTCACCTGCTTTAATATGTATTATAAAAACTAGTAATATTTCGGATAGAAACGAAAAAAAGAGATTTAGATTTTCTAATTCTATCGCTATTTAATTGCGCTTCACTCGAGATCTGATAATTGGATTTCGATATTTTTTTTAATTTAGATTGTTAAATAATTTTGCCTTGTAATTTACTAATTTTACAAAAAAATATTCGACTCATTATAGTTATACAATATAAATCGTAGATCACTTATGGTCATATTAGGTATATCTAAAATATTACACACGATGCCACGAAAAAGGCTATTAAAGGTTGAATATTAAACATAGTTAAAGGTTAAGCGTTAAAGGTTAAACGTTTTTCATATTAAATATCATGTCTAAATTTAATTCGATCTGTGGCCCACGTTTAATGTCTCTGGTAGTTTTAACTGAGACCAGTTAATAGTTTTACTATGCAAATGCTAGAAATAAAGTAGACACGTAACTCTAAAATTGTTTTAATTGTAACACAGTATCATATACTCCCATTCATTTTCGTAAATATCATTGTACTTGTTAGTTTAATATGAAATCTTTTTTCATAGTTTACAAGCGACTAAATTTCGCTTCGCTCGGGTCCGTAAGCTTAAATGATTTAGGAATGCATAAAAGACAAACGTCCAAAGAAAAAGTCTTTTTTGCTAAGAACCTTTCCAGGCGTATACAGAATAACCAATAGAGTTTCATCACAATTGGATTAATGGATGGAGCATTTAGAACAAACATACGAATATTCATTTTTATTTATATAATACTAGCAGAATCCGAGGCTTCGGTCGCGCTAAAACTACATAAAATCTCTTAAAATGGTAGGTTTCATACAAATTTTCATCTCTTATTTTATCCCCTTATGGAATGAATTTCGGAAAATTCTAAAACACATACTTATTTAATTGTATTGTAGAGTATCAATACCAAGTTTCAAGTAATTCTGATCTTAAATAATTTATATCGTGTTTTCCCGTGGGAATCAGATAATTGTAAAAAAGTAACTATGTTACTCTCCAACCCTCCAACTATCTCCACACAAAAAATCACGCCAATCCGTCACTCTGTTTCGAGGTGAAAGAAGGACAAACAGACAAACACATTTTTCCATTTATAATATTTTAGAATAATATTATGTAAAGCTAATTGATTTTCTCTTGTTACAGTGTCCAGTGAAGATATAAAAGAAGTAGAAGGACCGAATGGGAACCCAAAATCTACGAGATATACTACAATATCAAGGTAAGTGGATATTTTTAAGGTTAAACTAAAATTATTTTTAAAATAAAAAAATATTTATTGACGATTTTGGAAATAAAAAAAATGATAAAAAAGCTTTTTTTGAGCTTAGTTTTAAGAAGGCTACTAAAACATGAAAAACTAACATACTTTCATATGAGAAACGAAAAAAAATTGGCAGCTTTTTTGCTTCACCACTAATGTTTATGCATATACAGTCATACAATATGAAAGTTTGTGTATATTTATTCAAATCACACACATAAATCCCAGCAGTGGGCCCTGAAAGATATTTTGCTTTAATATTTAACACATTACGCCCCAAAGCGTTTGGGCATATTATATTCTCAATATGATAGACCCTTATCAAAAGTGACACAGATTGTCCTACGAATTAGTTTTGATGCGTATGTCCGTGATTTTATCACTGTATATTACTCTCTATTGCTTTTGGCTATGTGTTTGGGAAATCGAAAAACATGGTAAATGATGGTAAGCCCTTACTTAGCTCTTGCTTGTTTTTAGTTGACAACTCCTTTATTTGACTATATATTATCTTATTTTATGTATATCTCGTTGGTGTATCTCGGAAACGGCTTTAACGATTTGGTTTAAATTTTGTATTTAGATAAGGTTTTGCAAGTTTATCTATATAGAAGCAGTGTCTGAAAACAACGCAACTTTTATATCTTTTCGGGGAAATGCCGAGCGAAACTTGGTTGCCAAGGTAGTAATAATCCTAAATATGCTATATTAGTAAGCCAATGTCTCTTGCTTCCCAGTTCCCTTTACATTTATAATATTACACCAGTTCTCAGAAGGGATGATTTTTCTGACTTTATTCACAATTTTCATTACTGTATTTCCGCAAACTGTCCATAAAGTATAGCTACGTATAATAGCTATAAACCTTAATCTATACTAATAATATAAATAGGTAAAGTTTGTGAGTTTGTAATGTTGTAGGGGGTAATCTCTGGATCTACTGAACCGATTTAGATGTAGTTTGTAAAAAAATAGTTTGAGACCGTGGGAAGGGTATAGGATATTTTTTATCCCGGAAATCATACCTTAAAGGGGTGAAAATGGGGATGACAGTTTGTATTGGAAAGCAAGCTATGGATGAACCCGAGCGAAGCCAGGGTGAGTCGCTAGTAGATAATATTTCTATTGATGAAAGCTGTAAAAACCCGACCAAGCCGAACAAACTCAGCTTTTTAGGGGAAATTTATAATATTAGGTTAGAATAATTTCGGCCTATTTATAAATTGTATTTATACTTTTAAACGTTCGTATTAATAATAATTGTAAACTTTGTAAATATGTAAAATCAGGAGGAACTAGGAGGGGCGTAGTGGAACTTTTCACCATCGATTTAAGATTCTTCTAATTTGGTATAGCGACTCCCACATTAAGACATACAACCTGTGTAACATTAAAAAAAGTGTGAATTAGATTCGCAATTATTTAAATCAAAGACAAACTCGAGTAATAAAAATAGTATTGATAGTATATATTGCAAAAGTTACAAAATTTCATCAAAATTATAAATTGAAATAGCTGTCATAAACAAGGAAGCAAAGTTGGTATGAAAATATGAATAAAGTTTAAACGGTGTTCTGTATGAACAAACGCACAGACAAAACGTAAATTGCTTTGCGAAATATAACGGGTGATGATGTATGTAACGGATGCTGGATACTAGAAGTGTTAGCTGAAGTCTAGTTGAAATTCATGTAATATTAGTCTGTTTTGAAACTAGAATTTAGTTGAATTTCCGACTAAAAGTTTATAGAATACAGTGTATTTATTTTAGACTAGTACTTGTTTTCAAATCCTAATTTTATAGTTTTTAGAATTTTTGTCTGCTTGTCTGTCTGAGTACGTATCCCGAGAAAACTACCGGACGGACGGATGAGATGAAAGGTATGGCGATAGCTAGTTATCCGGGTCAACATATAGGATATAGGATACTTTTTACCGCGAGAAAATATGTCATCTCTGAGAATTGTATACTAATCGTTAAAATATTATATTCTTAATAGTTTGGCAGACATCTTTATAGGTTGTATGTACCTATTTGTTGTAATTATTGACAATTTACCTATTTATATCAAAAAACTCTTTCCAAAAAAATATTGATAACACTAAATCTCTTCAATAGCTAAGTACTTTGAATTAATTTAAATTAGTACTAAACAAAGAAAAAGTAGGCTGTCCGTAACAACTATATAATGCTTTTGAATCATCTTAAACCTTAGTCTCTCCCGTGACCATGATTGCTGTAAAGCATTCGAATCGTCGGGAACCAAAAATCAAAATAAAATCGCGAAAAAATCCGAAAAGATAGTTTTATTTAAAACTTTAATTAACTCGTGGTTTTTAAATTTACAAAAAAAAAACTTATAATATTGTCACTTAGTTCAATCAAACCCTAGCTTAGTATGGTTTTAACCGACTTCCAAAATGGAGGAGGTTCTATGTTCGTCTGTGTATATTTTTTTATGTACTATGCCACAGAAATCATTTCACGTATTGGGAATAAGTAAGTAGCTTATTAGTATTGGTTAATAGTAGTTATTATTATTGCAACTATTTTCACACAATTATTATACAAATAAGACTGACATATGATATTATATATACATTTAAAAAAAATGCAGTAACTTTAAAAATACACCTGAAAGTATTGCAGTTCGTTTGCATATTCTGCATAAAACATGGAAATTTAGAATATTCATTTATGTATTAAATCTCGTTATACAGTTGCTTGTGCCAAAAAAGTTATTCTGTATTTTTAAACGTGTCATCCCTTGAGGGGTCTTGACCAAGGTATTCCTTAAGGGGTCTTTCTTACAAGGTATTATTATTATTTCCTTGATTAGATTTCTTCCTTAAATTCACTTCATTAGAAGCCAAATTTAGTAAAATGTAAATGAGAACTATAAAACCCTATACATATTACATTTAAAGTAAAATCGAGTTATTAAAAAAATCAATTCCCGATGGACGAAAATTTCGCATCACATATACCATATCACCAAAAATCATAACGCCTAATCGAACACCTCTTTCTCGAAACCGGTTAAGCGATACTAATATTATGAATGTACGAGTAACTCTGTCACCTTTTCACGCTTAAACCGCTGAACAGATTTTGGTAAAATTTGGCAATGACATAAATTGCATCTTTGGGACGGACATACTCGTAGACTATCTTTGATACCTGCACCATTTACCATACGAGCGAAATCGCGCGCAAAACTAGTATGCTATATCAGTCTATAATTGTTTGTTAAAAAAACTTAATATTAATCTGCTATTTTACCTTGATGATGAATGATTTTTTTCCCAATACAAACTTTCAAGTTTCGGACAGACAGACAGAGTTACTTTCGCATTTATAATACTAATATGTACGTTTAATAAAGCACGACATTTAATAAGCCTCTTCCATCAACAACATATCAACTCAAAATGTATGACACAGGATAAAACTTCTACCAAAGTTTCAAATTGATGCTCCAAACAAATATACGCTGATTTATTTAGTTATGTCACAGTTTGTTATCCGTTTATTCTTTCTTGTCATAGACATGTCGTTTTAATTTATTTCAAGATTTTTCTATATACATTCAATATAAAAACGGAAACGGTCTCCCGAATGTGGTGCCTTTAGTTTTAATACAGTGTTACAAGTATTCAGCCAGTATTAACGTCCCACTGCTGGGCACGGGCCTCTCTTCAATACGAGGGAGAACAGGCCATAGTCCACCACGCTGGCCAAGTACGGGTTGTCGGACTTCACATGTCTTTTGAAAACTTGCTAGGTTCTCTCAGACATGTAGGTTTCCTCACGATGTTTTCCTCCACCGTAAGATAAGTGGTAATCATGTTGGAAATGATTCGCACATGTGTCGCAATATCAGTGATGCGAGACCCGGGATTTGAAAGCGTTTAATTCAGTTTTCCAAGCGCCTTATCACTGGGCTATCTACATATATATTCGTGATGGTAATTGTAATTGCTGGCTAGCGATTTATCCGTGCTTTGCTTGGGTGTGTCTCAAAGAACCTTTTGTATTTATAATATTGTATACAAATAGCGACACTTTTTGGGAAATTTTATTACTAACAGCTACGTCTTAGTGCAAAATGTCAAGCCATTTCGACGTGAAGGAGTAATAAACAAGCACATACAGATAATACTTTCTCGAATTAAATATAAATATATTTGCTCGAATATTTGACATTTTAAATAAAACTATCTTTTCGGATTTTTCGGGAACCAAAAATCAAAATAAACCCGCGAAAAAATCCGAAAAGATAGTTTTATTTAAAATACACAAACAATCTTTCGCATTAATAGTTTAAGTGTAATTTAGTATTATTTAATTTTATTTTTGTTCAGTAGGATACGGCATACCTAGATATTTTTTTTTTATTTTTCTTTATTTTTACAAATCAATTTACTTCATATGCCTACAAGTGACACTAAATCGTAGTATACCTTACCATAGAAATGAAACTGCTCGAAATTTCGCAATGTCGCCTTTTACAGTATAGTAAATAAAAAGCTAATAAACTTAAGCACTAATATCGCAGTCTTGGTACTGTGGTATTCACATTCTTGCTACAAGTACCTATAATAATAGCTTTAATGACGTTATTAAATGTTAGCGTTAGCTCTTGCATGGTTTTAATTAAGGAAACGTAGATTTACTTCGTCATCACAGTAGTTGGAATCTCGGATATAGCAAATATTTGTATGAACCATAAAATGTGTGTTCCGGTACAGTTAAATATCTTTTGTTACCTGACTATATATGTATGTAGGTACGCTGATTACTCAAACATTGTGCGTTATAAATACGTTGTTTTAGTAAATAACTATATACATATTCAAGGAAAACTATAATAATTAAGTATAGTGATTATTGAAAAAAAACTGGTTTTCTAAGCATCTTTCACTAATACTAGTGTACTGCTAGTCTGCCTGAATGATCCCTTACTATCCGCGCTGAAACTTATCAATACAGGTATAGACTAAAGCCTCGTACGTATAAGGTAGAGATAGTAAAAAAATCTCAATAAACACTTGGATAGATATTAGCTGAAAATATGCCTTATCTAAGAAATATTTTTGACGTTACATATAAAAAACGCACAAACAGAATGAGTTTTAGTGAAGTCCTTCTAAAATACACCAATTCCATAAAAAATGTACTAATAGTACAATTTTTTGTCATTTTTGTTTTCCCTATAAATTTTATTACATGGCTAATTTTTTGAGATTGAGTCACTTCTGGTATCAACGTTTCAAGATCGAAGGATGACATGGCTTAACGACTACCATCAATAGATAACAACTTAGGTTTAACATATTCTACAAAGCGTTCTTCCTTCAAAGGTGTAGCGCTTATAGCTGCCCAACTTTGGTGAACTGTTAAGTTCCCTGTCAAATTGTATAGACTACTTTCCCCGCTTTGCTCGGGTGCATTCCCTGGTTGCCTATCAGCCTATTTGTTATTCTACGTCATACTCTATCTCGGTACTAGATTTTATCAAAATCATACAAATTTTCCCAATAAAATTAATCTCATATAAGGTAAGAACCGTATTTGAGATTTGTTTTGTAAATGGTATTATTAAAGAGTACTTTTTGTTTTACTCCAGGTCTTAATCCATCCAGTCCATCCAAATCCGTCCAGCCGTTTTAACGTGAAAGAGTAACAAACATACACACATACAAAGTATAAATAACTAGCGACTCACCCTCGCTTCGTTCGGATTCGCTTCTTGATACGTTTTAATGGTTAGCATGGAATAGATAGACTATATGTATATTATATAGGTATTATGAGTTTTATATCCCTTACTTGTGAAATGATTGATTCCCCATACAAATATTCACCCCCCTTTTCACCCCCATAAAAGATGATTTCCGGGATAAAACTATCCTACGTCATTCCCAGGGTCTCAAAATATCGCCATACCAAACATCTAAATCGGTTCAGTGGATTAAGCATGAAAAGGTAACAGACAGGCAGAGTTACTTTCGCATTTATAATATTTATATGGAGAGTAGCCCAAGAGTGTGATATAAATAAATGGTATCTATAACACTTTTGTTTTCTCACCAGAGTACACTTCAAAGCGATGGCTGATGATGACTACGCAGATTTTACTTGTGAAGCCCGACATGAGGCTCTACAACGGGATATGCCGATGCGAAGTACCGTTCAACTCAGTGTATTATGTAAGTAATTGTACTTTTATGATAATAATAATATCTCCTAAACAAATTCGGTCACGACGGCCTATCTCACTGAGACAAGCGATCTGCGCAGGAGATATTATAGTGCATAAGTATGCGCAAACACTCTATTCTTGTCACTTTTATATACCGGTGGGGTGAAAATTAGACACGATCAGTGAGAGATCAGGCGCAGCACCGATGGTCTTAGGTGCTTTCCGAGGTACTTGAATGTTACTAAGAATTTCTTAATAGAAAATCGCAACTTAACGCAACTATTTCTGTTTGTATTAGCATTTAGCGTTAACTTTTTCTAGATTTTTAGATTTTCTAGGTTTAGAGATTTTCATCTGAGCTTTTCATGGCGATGTATGTATATATTATGTTAAAAGGTACTAAAGATATATGTATAAGTTATCTATGGTTACACATAGCTTGGATCGCTAGTATTACTATGTATGTCTGTAACAAAAGACATATATAAACTAATAAAAAATAATAATCAAGTAGTTTAACGCACAAAAATTAGAGCTTGAATATTAATATTAATGTTATCATAATATAAAAATCAATATGTAAATGTACGTCAAATTATAATGAGACTCTAAAGATAATAGCCATTTTGATGAAAAGTGAAAGCTTCACAAAAAAATGTATTAAAATTGACAATCACCTTTTTCAAAGATGGTTAAGAAAACATTACTCATATAATGAAACAGAATTGGCGTGAACTTCTCCCACGTCGCGTATTTTAAAAACTGTAGCGTCAGATTAGGAGCCCCACGCTGAGAGGTATATAGGGCACGACAGACGCCCATTTCGATGTATTTTTATTATTACACATAGAACAATAATATGGTTTGAATAATTAATATTTTATTTTCTTTATATTTGTAAATATAATAATAGCAACTTGTAATAAGATTAATTAATAAAGGTTTCAAAAAATGTAACAATTATAATAAATAATAACAGCTAAAATGAAATAAATACATTGTTCAATTACAAAAGTTATTAAAATTATAAATAGTCAAATAACCAATATTATAAGGGTATTTTGTTGCCATTTTTGTATTTTTCAATTTCTTTTGTAATTTTGTGGGTAGGCTGTCTGTAACAACTATATAACGCCTTTAAGACGTCTAAAACCTTAGTACCTTTTGTGATCATGATTGCTGTAAAGCATTCGAAACGTAAGGAACTTTGGTGCCCGACGGATGGTTTCGAATGCATTATAATCAAAATAAATCCGCGAAAAAATCCGAAAACATAGTTTTATTTAAAATGTCTTATTTTAATTCATACTTTCTGCTCGCGGTTTCTGTTACATCGTAAAGAGTCAGTTATCTTTCAATGTTCTTGAACAACGCCATTTATTGATTCTAAAAATAAGTTTGATTTATTATCATATGGATATTGGATACGCATTTTATTCTATTTATTTTATGTATCCTATGTGTTAGTCTTAGTTAAAATCTAAATAAAAATCATCTTGCAATATTGCTATTAGATATATAGCTATTATTATGTCAAAAAATTTATTAACTATTCGGAACTGTCAAAAAAAACTCAGCGGGGCTGACTGTAGTTTCTTTTTTAACAATTTACAAACGACATTGTATATAAAATAAGTAGGTATGTGTTAAGTTTTATCGAAATCGGTTCAATGTACAAATTGCTTATGTAAAAAACATCCAAAAATCTTTGTTGCATTATTGTTGTGTGTTTTTTTAAATATTCCTTATAGTTTTTGACCTTAGTACGACCATGTATGAAATGAAAAGAAATTTCTTATACGCATACAGTTACAGATGAATCCGGATAACTTTGACTCCAGCCTTGTGGCGACAAAGTGGCCTTTCGTCAGGTTTTTAGTAGGTAGGCTGCCGCGCGCTTACCATCTTTGCGTGGCAGGAGCCCCACATAACCCGTTCCGCTTCCCCAGGCAGACGGGTACCCGGGAACAGGGTTTTCCTGAGGTTATTAAGACGGGGGAAGGTTTTGTTGGGTTTTAGTGGGTAGTACTGGCTTTGCCGGTGAGTCCCACACCTCGTGCGTAAATGCATTTCCCAACGTTAAAAAAAAAAGGGTTTTCCTAACGTTAAAAAAAATAAATTAAATAATGGCTATGATGATACTGAAAAAGTATAAACTGCTTTGCAAATATCAACGCTCGCCTCCGTACAGTATTTAAACTATTTTATAAAAACTGAATAACAATAAGATGATGATTTTGTGTTTGTGTGTGTGTGTCTGTGTTTGTGTCTGTGAATGCAAGATTCTTTAATAAACTTCAGTCTCTTTATGTTAATATGGATTCAAACGTGCAATATTTATTGAATATATATGGATCCAAACAATAAATATACTTATAACCATTTACTAAATGTACAATTATCTCAAGTAACTATCTATTGTGGCAACAAAATAAACAAAATGTTAAAGACAAAAACAATTAATTCCAGTTTCTTGTAAACAATGAGACATCCAGTGTTTAACTTAAGACAAACTTTGTTTTACTTGCTTACGTTTTACATTCGCTGTGACGAAATTAAATTGTTAACCGTTTGAGATAGCAGCTCCTAGACTATTTTAGGAATTTCTTTAAACTTTCAATGAAGAATGCTTTAAGATCCTCACAAATATCTTTAGGGATGTAGTAAAAGAGCTTGCATCATATTTTATATAATAAAGCTTCCAACTACCATTTAATTTTAAATACCATGATTTAACACTCGTTTTTGTCAGTGGTTTCGTTCATTTATGTTTTTAAAACTCAAGATAGTCAAAATTTAGCCAACTAATTTTTCAATTGTTTACTAATTGTATATGAATTTAAAGATTCATTTTTTTATTAGTGCACAAATTCGTTTAGTACCACTCTTTTGTAAGACATTTCTAAGGATAAAACTAGATGACGCAGATTTGATTCTAAAGGAAAGCAAATTAAACCTACCCTATTTTATTAGTTTAAATTATTGAAAAACGTCGTCAAATACTGAGTTTATTTAACTGGAAAAACTAAAAAATACATAATTTAAACCCATTCGTATACATTTGATGAAAATAATCTAAAAATGTTTGCACAACAAACTGATAGGTTTTCCAAATAATAGAAAAGGCCGATACAGCAAAACTCTTCTCCGAGCTCTTTTAGTTTTCTTTTACGATATTCAATAGGGACTGAGAAATATTGCTTCCCAATACATCTTGCAGGAACTATCATTGTCTGACATTTTTATTGTGTTTGTGAAAAATTTAACTTGTATGTACTCGTATAGAAATTAATGCATCACATCAATATATAATAATATTTATTTTATTTATTTATTTATTTTATTAATATTTTATTATTATTTATTCAGTTCTACTTATCCTACTAATAATATAAATGCGAAAGTTTGTGAGGATGTATGAATGTATAGACGTATGGATGTTTGTTACTCTTTCATGCAAAGACTATTGAATGGAGTTTAATAAAACTTTACAATAATATAGCTTAAACATCAGAATAACACGTAGGCTATTTTTTCCCGGAAAAAATGTACGGTTCCTGTGGGATAGATTTGTTTATTTTTTCTAGAGGTGAACCCGAGTGAAGCGAGGATGAGCTGCTAGTATACTAATAAAATAATTAAAGATTGAGTTATATATATCTTTTATTGACTATTCACATAAGAAAACTAAACTTTTATTTTATAAATTTAGATTATTACTACATTTTTTTAAATTCTCAGACAAGAACAAAATGACTGAAATACAGACTGAAAAAATAGATATACTCCAATATTACTGAAAGACTGATTCGGAAAGAGTATATAATATTGATTTCGTACAGTTTCGTCATAAATTGTAGTCTAACCGAGTTTAATTTGCCGGTTACCCGAGCAGTTAAGTCCTCGATCATGATCTCATCACGTTAAACGCGGGGGTATCCAAGCATTAATAGGATTTATCAAGGGTTTTATGATGGCTTTCGATTTCTAATGCTTATAATTAATATTTACTATGCCTTTATTTATATTTTGGTAGTAGTTATAAGGCAGTGGTAGCCCAGTGGTAACGCGCTTGCTTGGGAAACGGAGTGAAGCGGGATCAAAACCCGGGTTTCGTACCTCTGATATTTTCATATATGAATCATTTCTAACATGATTACCACTTGCTTTACGGTGCACAAATGAGCGCTCATTCGGCGAGGACATTTTTTTTCGCTGATTGTGTACTTTTATTGATCGATGAAGCAAGGGCAAATTACCACTACCAAAATGTATGTATGTATTCAGCCCTTTTAACGTCCCACTGCTGGGCACGGGCCTCCCTTTCAATATAAGGGGGATCAGGCCATAGTCCATCACGCTGGCCAAGTGCGGCTTGGCGGACTTCACGTTTTTCGAAAACTTGCTAGGGCTTCTCAGACATGCAGGTATTTTCACGATGTTCTCTTTCACCGTAAGACAAGTGCTAACCATGTTGGAAATTATTCGCATATGAAAATATCAGAGGTACGAGACCCCGAAATTGAACCCTCTACACTCTGTTTCCCAAGCGAGCGCGTAACCACTGAGCTAGTGGTAACTAAATTTAAGATTTATATATACAAATGGATAAAATCCTACATATCCGTGAATAAAACCCATCGCAGCTTACACTGAATAGCCTACAATCTAAAGATCGATATTATATGTGCCTCCATAGACTGAGATAGTAATGTTTATTTTATTCTCAACTTATTTATTTTCACAGCTAGTCTATATATAAAAAATAATTTAAGTTTGTCCATTCGCAACGCATACTATTTTTTCATTCCTATACTGTACATCCTATCCTATGTATTATACTTTGTAGATGTCAATATGTGGGACTAATGTCTGGTTGGGTCTCACGTAGGATACGTAGATAATTACTGTATTGCAATATTGTAAACAAATATTATTTTAAAAGAGCAACTGTTGAGTTTCTCACCGGCTCTTCTAAGCAGAACTGCCTTCCGAACCGGTGGTAAA